AACAAAAGTCAAGGGCAACTCTCTCGCACGTTGGATTGTACCTTCCAAGGCCTGTTTTCAGTCACGGTCAATTGTACGTAGCGTTGTCTCGAGTGAAGAGTAGATCTGGAATAAAGATTTTAATAAAGAGCGAATCCAGTGAGTTGTCCAGTGTTACTAGCAACGTCGTGTACAAAGAAAGAATATAAAGGTACACATTGACAAACACATATATTAATTTTATTTATGTTTAACATTGTTTTTTTTCCAATATATATATATATATATATATATATATATATATATATATATATATATATATATATATAAAAGTATTCTTTATCTACGTAACGTCTTTAACTTATATATTGAAAATGTGCAAAAATAACAAATTATTTGTCATCATATCGTATATCTGATTGTAGTTTCATTGTCTCCTTTAACAACAATCAGATTCATGTGCAAGACTGGTTCGATGCTTTGATTTCAGTATGGGAGTTACTTGCTACATTTTAATGTGGATGGTTCTTAGAATTTTGTCAGTTTATTCTATATGCAGATTTTTTATTGCTTGATTAAGATACGAATTTTTATTTTTTTGTTCAGTTGTATTCTTAGCATTCTCGACATAATTTTTCTTCGTCAATTTTATACATTAACTCATTTTAATGTTTTTAATTAATCCCCGTGCATCGCACGGGTGAGTTACTAGTTGATGTATAATCGGACATCGGTTGCTTTTCACCATCCATTTTGCTTATGAAACCGGAATTAATTCTTTTTATTTTATAATCGGTTTATCTGGATAATATAATTTTGCAATTTTCATTTTTAGGAAATGATTTTATAATTAAGTAAAATAAAATAATATTGCATAAAATTATTTTTTATATAATAAGGCTATCAATATCTGCAGCAAAAAAACTGACCATGGACTGGTGAATCTATTTGGGCCGCCCATTAACCCAGATTATGGATTTTGGCCCAAATTTTATTGTAGTTGATGGATTTGGCCCAAATTTTATCATCAGTGTCTTGCATACCAACACTTTTTTTTTTTTTTTTTTTTTTTTAAATTGAATAATAACTAAAGCTAATTAATACAAATTAAATTGAGTTAAGAGGACATGTGTTGATATATATAGTAAGACGCTTACCGTCATTGTAATTATCATCGGGAGTAGAGTCGACAATGATACTGAAGTTAAGTAGAAGGACATGCTAGACAGCGGTAAATCTTCACAATTTTTTTCTACATACAAAATAATCATTCTATTTACCAATTAATTTTATTTTATGTTCGAATTAGCATCGATTTTTTATGTTACAGTGATTTTTGGGGAAAACAAATTTGGGTGAAGAAGTTGTGTGGTGCCGGTGGAGTTGGGTCGCCGTTCGTAGTGGTCGTCGGTGAGATTGGGTCATCGTCTGTCGATCAAGGAAGAAAGTGCTCTTGCCATGGACTGTCTATGGCAGATGCGGGGTGTGTGTGGAATTTTGAGAGTGGGGAGTTAAGATTTTTCTCTTTTGATTCAATTATTTTTTTAATTTGTTAACTTGAAAGTCTAGAGAAGTTAGAGGAAATAGAGTGTAGACAGAAAATTACTCTTTTTTTTTTTTTTTTTTTATGTGTATGATTTAGTAACTTTTAGTAGCACGCTGCACGCCCCTTAATTAATATAACAATTAAATTATGTATGAACGAAAAAAGAAATCTCGATTTTTTTTTTTCGCCAAAAGTGTTCGAAAACTAATAAATTAGCTCACAAACAAAATTTTACATTTGAGAGGGAACATTTGAAAAAGGGCCAAGCATACTTATTTCAAAAGCGAAGGGCAAGATTGAGATTTCACACCTCAATCTCAGCTCTACACTCCTCCGTCCCAATTCAAAATTTCAAATCTCTGAACGGTCTTCTCCTCTCACAACCCAAACCGACAAACACCCCCCCCAACCCAAAACCCCAAATCTCTGTTCATCAAACCCATACCGTAGAATCTTCTCTACTGGAGAAACATACCAGGAATTCCCCAAATTTTGTTCCAATCCTTCAAAATGCCGTTAATTTCCAGCATTTCTGAACCGGCGACGGAATCTAGCAGAAGCAGATTTGGGTACCATCAGAACCAGCAACCGGAGCCGCCGTCTTCTCAGATGAAGCGCTCGAGCTCGCCGGATATCTCCACCGCTCGAAGCTTCGAGTTCCAGGAAGACCCTTCCTTCTGGAAAGAGCATAATGTTCAGGTATATAAATTTTTTTTCTTTTCTATTTTGTATTTTCAGTACGGCTTGTAGGTAATATATTTCATTGCGTATGGGTTGTGAAAATTGTGAGAGTAAGATAGCCTACTAGGGTTTGAAGCTCTTAAATGCAGATGTCAAATCAGTGTTTTGTGATATGTATTACTGGGTGTATGTCACACCGAAAGAAGGAATAGCATGTGAATTGGGTTTAGAGTGTGCATTTCATGTCAGTTGTAGATTTTATAGATCTACATCTTGTTACTTGAAATACATAATTTGAGTAGATATCACTGAATTAATGGCTGGAACCTAACTATTTCATGTTAACTATGTCTAGGTTTTAGATATTGAGTTTAAAAGGAGATGATATGATTTTATGCCATGATACTACATTTCATGTGATATTGTACGTACTGCCATATGTTGCCACCATGTCTAATTTTAGTAATTGCAAACGATAACTGTGAAAGCATTGTTTAATGTTGCAATTTTCGACTATTGGTTTGGAAATATATAGGTTATTATTCGGTTACGTCCTTTGAGTAGCTCTGAGTTATCAACCCAAGGGAACAATAGATGTGTTAAGCAAGATAGTTCCCAGTCTATTACGTGGAACGGGCACCCAGAATCAAGATTTACTTTTGACCTTGTGGCAGATGAGAATGTTAGCCAGGTAATTATCTCATCTTTTAATATAAATTCTTTGATAATGAATTTATCTCTAGGTCATAATATACTTTTTGCATTACTTACAGGAAATGTTATTTAAAGTTGCTGGGGTGCGCTTGGTAGAGAATTGCATGGAAGGCTATAACAGCTGCATGTTTGCATATGGCCAGGTGAGCTAACCATTTTATTTTCCTTTTGAATTCAGATAATAGGAAGTTACATTTTTATCCATCACTTGAACCTTTCCATAACATCAATTACTGTATAATTTCAAGCCCATGATTCTTTTTTCTTCGTAGACTGGAAGTGGGAAAACTCACACGATGCTTGGCGACATCGAGGGTGGTGCTAGGAGACACAGTGTTAATTGCGGGATGACACCTAGAGTCTTCGAGTACTTATTCTCCAGAATTCAGAAGGTATATTATGAGTACATGATTCATCTTGAATTAGTTCTGAAGTTCTATCATTACTGTCTTATATCCGAAAATCGATGAAAATATTTTGGATTGTGAAATCATTTTCGTGTAGAAGTCAACTGTTGGAGCCCCAGTTTTCATTGTAGAATTGGTGTTTACTTCAAAACTTGCATGATGGTAAATAGAGTTCTGGGGTTCAAGTGCCAATTTTACACAAATTTCAACGTTCGGTACCCTTTTTCATGTATTCCGGAAGTTCAGTGCATATTGTAATTAATGTTGTTCTCTTAAAGAACTTGTAATAATTTCACAAGACCAGTCTACATTTACTTGTCATTTACTGATTTTTGTGGTGCCGTTTTTGTGTTACAGGACAAGGATGCACGAAGAGAAGAAAAACTGAAATTTACTTGTAGATGTTCTTTCTTAGAAATCTATAATGAACAGATTCTTGACCTTTTGGATCCCTCATCCGTCAATTTACAGGTACTGTTCCAGTGTTTAACAATTTTCTCATAATTTGTTTCACGTGAACTCTCTCTAAACCCCTGCATCGCTAACTACAGTATGTTTTAAGAGGAAATATACCTGTTAATGGCTTATCTTAAGCTGTCATTCTTATTGGAAAAATTTTTTGCTATAAAATTGGCAACATGTGCACTTTTTGTGAATAATTTGTTTATGCTGAAGGAGAAGGGCCATTTCTTTGTTGAATTATTTTTATTCATTATTTTGCCACGAGTAACATCCTAGTGGACATCCTGCTGGTTCATTTTTCTAAAATGATGAAAACAGCCTTATTACCAAGTTCTATGGCTTCTGCTTTCTGAAATGACTCTAATTAGTTGTCACTTTACAGATCAGAGAAGACAGTAAGAAAGGTGTTTATGTTGAAAATCTCACTGAGGTAGAAGTCTCAAGTGCTCGAGACGTGATCCAACAACTTATTCAGGTTTGCCACTTCCCTTATTGTGCAAGACCTCCTTCATTGTTTTCTATGTCAACCTCGCCCAGTTAACATATCATTCTTTCCCCCTTCATTTGCTCATCTCTACTGTTTATTGCTAATTATAAAGTTTGTTACATTGTTGGTGATGTCATGTTTTCAGGGTGCAGCCAACAGAAAGGTAGCTTCAACTAACATGAATCATGCCAGTAGTCGTTCCCATAGTGTGTTCACATGCATCATAGAGAGTAAGGTAAATAATAATTCTTCTTGCTTGCAAACAATTGTTCCTACCATAGATTAACTTTGACCGTCATAGTCCAACCTGAACCGTACACATGGTCCTTTTTTCAGTGGGAATCACAAGGTGTTACTCATCATCGGTTTGCCCGTCTTAACCTTGTAGATTTAGCTGGATCCGAAAGGTAAAGTAAAATTTGCGGTTGGTAAATCAAAATGGAAGTTCACATTTTCAGATGAAAACCTCGATTTTGCTTAAAAAATAATTATGAATGTTTCTACATTTTTTGTCCTACAAATTCAGGCAGAAGAGCTCTGGAGCAGAAGGTGAGCGTTTGAAGGAAGCTACCAACATCAACAAGTCTCTTTCTACATTAGGGTGTGCTCCTATTTTTTGTGCTCGATTTTAAGTTGAAATATCTCGTTTCGCCCTAATCTCCTGTTTGCATTGTGGAATTTTAACATTTATTCTGGTATGCAGACTTGTGATAATGAACCTTGTGAGTGTATCCAATGGGAAGTCACTCCACGTTCCTTACAGAGACTCGAAGCTCACATTTTTGCTTCAGGTGAATGATTCTGGCTTAGATTACGATAAAAATGTATCTCAGGCTTCACGGGTTGTTGTTGCATATGTTCTTTCATATATCTCAGGATAATTATTTCACAAGTAACAGTAGGTTAGAGAATCAATGTATTATGTAAATGGATTTGGAGAAAACTTGAATTATTTTCATGATGTGCAATATTGAGGAGCCATTTCGTGATTTCTGAGTGATCTTTCTGCAGGATTCATTGGGTGGAAATGCCAAAACAATTATCATTGCGAACGTTAGCCCCTCTACTAGGTCAGTATTCCTCTATGAACTACTGCATAAATCACTCTCTGCTGGAGAAGGGAACTATAATGGCTATTGTCAAATAAAGCTTATAGCTTATTCATTGCATGTTTCTGAAACTATCTATTCTTTGCATTAAGTTATTGCATGAAATGTCTGTAAAAATACTCCATGCCCTTGCAGCTGCTCGCTAGAGACTTTGAGTACATTAAAGTTTGCTCAACGTGCCAAATTCATAAAAAATCATGTAAGTAGCATTCTCGGTTCATTGTGAGTCTTTATCCATTAGCTCTTTTACTGCTCACAGAATCTTTTACTTTGTAGATAGTTTCAGTGCTCATCATTTATGTGGTAGTTGCTGGCTTCAAACTGCTATTTATTCTGTTCCTTATTCTTAGACTGTTTCTTTACTAGGCTATTGTTAACGAAGATGCTTCTGGAGATGTGCTGGCTCTGAGGATTGAGAACCAAAATCTCAAGGTATCAACTGCAAACAAACTTAATACTGGTAGCTGTGAGCTATATTAAGCAAATTATTTCATATAGATATGGATCAATTTATTGACCAAAGCTAGTGCATTCGTCTCAGTTTTCCTCTCAATTTTACTTGAGTTGCATTTCTAAGTGCGAAGTTGATGTTCATGCCTTCATTGTTCTCAAGCATCATAACATAATTCAACATTGGTCCTCTATCCAAAGAAACAGTAAATTAACTAACAAAATTGGTAAATAGTGGTTATTGTTTAACTATAAACAATAATGAACTGCATATTGATTAGGGTTCCTTACCAATACTTTGAGGTGACATCACAGTTCATTTTAGCTGCTTTAACTCTGCCATAGTAAGCTAGTACACTAAATAGACCAGGAACTTATGGCATCCTATGAGCTGTCGGTTCGATATTGCTGTAACTAAATTTGTTTAAGAAATGTGATGTCATTGTCAATGGTTTTGAGTCGTCATGCCAGTCAATGAATTTGTTGCACTTAATTAATTTCATAACTGCATATGACGAGTTTCCAATTTGATATTTATTGTTAATAGTTCTGGATAAAGGGAGTCTTGTGTTGACTTGTGTATGATATCACTTTTTCTCGTTTTGAAAGTGAATTTATATTATATCAACAAATATTTCAACACCATACTTAACTATCTTATTATTATTCCACTAACAAGAATTTAATCCAAACTTACTACCCTATTTTCTTTTCGGAGAAATAGCAGATTTGTCTTTTTGTTGCAGACTTGCAATAAAAATGAATGTTTGTAATTGTTTGAGCTAATATACTTCTTTTTCTTATTAGAGTTACCACTGAAGCCAATTGTTGTTATTGATCATTTTTTTAATGCCATGTAGAAAGAAGTATCTCATTTGCGGTCTCTAGTCACTGGAGGAGTTGAAAGCAACGATAGTGATATTTTATCACTGGCCTTTCCAGTATCTCCGGGATCATTTAAGTTGGATGGACTTCGTGGTTTTTCCACTCCACTTATGTCTGGAAAAAAGATGTCACATGTATGTCAATGGATCTTCACCACATGATAAATCAAAGTATTTTGCATGATATTAAGTTCTTAATTAGTGTACTTGTTTTAGCTTCCAAAAAAAGAGTATGAAGTTGCGCTTGTCGGCGCATTCCGGAGGGAAAAGGATAAAGACACTGCTATACAGGCATTAACTGCAGAGAATCAGGCAGCTCTGCAACTGGTATGTGAAATCTAATTACAGTGAGTTTCAGTTTCCTTCCAGATGTATGAATAAGTGAACTGAATACTTGTGGAAGTAGGCAAAATTTATCTCTTGAAAACTGAAGTATGCTTTTGCTCTGACACAATTACTTGCCAATGAAGTCTATTTTCAGATGAAATCACCATGTAAAGATATTTTCTCATGCTGTAATTGAGAGATTTGGAACTTTGGGCGTGTTTATATAATTTTGCTTACTGCGGACGCTTTACTGTTTCTGTGAATACACATTACTGGTCTTTTAAGTCTCTTTTCTTTTGTGGATACCATAAGAACGCTATATAATTTTGCTTTAATTGAGATTTTTAGAGCACTGAGCACGTCTAGATCATTTTGTGACGTGAAAAATGAAATAATAGACGCAGTAATTTTGCCTGTAGGTAAGGCGATGTGGTGGAAAGAGAACTTAAGAGTAGAAATAAGTTGGACCCGATCCTACAGATATTGATAATAGTTACTTTTGAAATTGAACTGTCCCTTACAGCATGAGGTGTTAAGCAAATGGAGAATTTCCATACTGTCTTGTGAATTACTTTTAAATAGTTTACTGTATATGTGTCAGGCTAAACATAGAGAAGATGAGATTCAAGGCTTGAAGATGCGCTTAAGATTTCGAGAAGCAGGAATAAAGAGGCTCGAAGCCGTTGCTTCTGGAAAGATGTCTGCTGAGATTCACTTGCTTAAAGAAAAGGAAGAGTATTTAAAGGAAATTGAAGTACTGCGTGCTCATGTAGACCGCAACCAGGAGGTTACAAGATTTGCAATGGAGAACTTACGACTGAAAGAGGAGATCAGAAGGCATGTGTTTCTGTTTCGAATTGGTTCCTTTCCACTTAATAGCAATTCTATTTTTTCTCGTTTGACATCATATTTAATTACAGCATTGCATTGATCTCTCATCGATTAGTTGATGATCCAACCTCAGAATTGAGGAACTAGATGGTAATTCTTGACTGTCCACAAACCAATATGCATTATGCAATGCTATCTCGACCCAAAAATCCTGGCTTGAATGGATTTTTGAGATTTGACCAGTCCTAATAGCCTGATTTTGTGCACATAGTAGATCATCAGGCTAACTGGGGTGGTTGGATAAATGAATTATTTACGCTGTCAGCATTTTAGGTTTCAGTTGGTCAGGTCTGGCCCGAGTTAAATTGGAGGGAACGTGGCCTATTTGGTAATAACACGTGCTACTCCATCATTTTCTCCTACAGCATTAAATTCACGTAGATTAATCAGGAATTGGAAGTAAATAACCTCGCTAGCCGTGTTTCTGGTTCTATCCTGAAGCAGTTGCTCTCTAAGTTTCTTTATAAGTTATAACTTAAGCAGCAACTTTATTGTGTTCTGGTTTGTTTTGTGATTCTTTACATATGTCATTTATACCGCTTTGACTTTATTTTTGATAATATTGATTTGCTAATGAATTTATTCAACAATTCAGGCTGAAGTCATTTTGTGAGGAAGGTGAACGAGAAAGGATGACTGAGCAAATATTGATATTAGAAAACAAGGTGAACATTCTGTTCTTTGAAATTGTTTATTGTTGGATCCTTTGATATGCTAAAAGGAATAGTGATTTTTTATATGTTCTGGGT